ATTTTATTATTATTTATGCATTTAACAAAAAAATATATAATTAAACATGTGGTTCTTAAACTATGGTGTGTGGACCTCTGGTGGTACATGGACTTTTCTTTTCTGTACTCGTGGGGACATTTTGCAGGTCTATTATTTTGATGCTGGTCGTACCAGGGGAATTTGGACAGACAAATATTTTCATAGGTGGTTTGTGGTGTTTTGAGCGGCTCTTCTAACTGAATGGTATTATGGGTATTTGTCATCCTCGTGGGGACATAAGACCATGAAGTCCGTCTAATGTATTAATAAGCATTAGTTCTCGAAGTGTAGGCAGGTTTTAAGGTCACAGGATGATGGTTATAGCAAAAATAATCCCCTGGAAATGAGTTTCAGGTTAATGTCCTCGTACATCATGGAAGTCATAAAGGGCAGGACGACGGTCTGATCAATGGCTGCTCTAATGTCAACGTTGACTTATGGTTGGTTATGAGATGTTTCAGGGTCCAAAGGTGGGTGTTGACCCTGAGGTTCAGAGTCGATGCCTGACAGTCCTCAGTTGAACATTTAAACTTTTTTAGCCTAACACTTTTTTTTTTCATTTCTGATTTTAATTTTGTTTGTTTATTTGAATTTAACAAATGAATGCCTTGGTTAACTTTAGCTTAGCGTGTATTTAGCTTTTGGTGGCGTGGCTGCTCGTCTTGTCTTCATGTTTCACATCTTGGATTATCTCATCTTTATTTTTCTCATCTCATCTGGCTATATTTGACTTGTTCTAAATGGATCTCCTTAGCTCAGACTCTAAGCTTACATTAGCTTAGCATGCCTTGTAATTTCTAAGCTCTTCATGGTAGTTTTAGCTCTAATTTATTATATTTAATTGACCTTATTTTCTCGTTGAGCTCTTCGCTGTGCAATTCTTGCAGCGTTAATGTTACATTTTGTCACATTTTGCAGGTTGTGTTTGTGTGTGTGTGAGTGTGTGTGCAGCCTGGCCAGTTTTAGCACTGACATGAATATAAAAGGCGAAGCTTATAACCGTCTGTTTCCTCTAACAGGATTTAGTGATTCACGGCTTCAGGGTTTCAGTGAAGCGAGACGACTGTCACTAGCTGCAGTTGTTTTTTTTTCTCTTCCCATAAATCCCTGCGTTTCATTGGGATGGAGACGTGAAGAAGTTGACATTAGCGTCAGATTCTTACAGCAGTGAAGACTCTTTAAAGTCACTCGGCCCTGTGATGTGACAGAAGCTTTACTCTCATGCTGCTGCTGCTGCTGCCGCTGCTGCTGCCGCTGCCGCTGCTGCTGCTGCTGCACTCAGGTGAAACGGGAGGGAAATCACTCAGTAGAACAGAAGAAACACAACTTTCACTCACACAGTATGCAGACGATGTTGTGTTTTTATCTCATCTCCTCTAAAAGGACGTGTTATCTCATGTCCTTTATCTTATTTTATCTCCTCTCATTAAACCTTTTTCAGCCTTTAACTTATTTTGGCTAAGTTTATCTTAAGTCGTCATCAGTCATTTTCTCTTATTTTGACACAGGTTAAATCATAAGATTCAAATTTTGGTTATTTTCATGTCTCTGATGTGTGCCACTGCAAGCCTCCAGTCACTAGGTGGCAGCAACTTATACAGTGGTTTGTACAGATCAGAAGATACATATTATTGAGTTCTCTATAGTCTTTCAATTCCTAGAGATGTGGAAAAGATTCTGTCCCCTAGGGGGAGCACGGCAGAAAGTATAGCCACTGGTTTAGCCCAGCTTAGCTTAGCTTGGCCTACCTGCGTTTGTCTTCACTCTTCTCATTTACCCTTTTCAACTTTGTGTTGATCCAAAATCCACACATTGGAAGAAGATAAAGGAAAAGATCACAACAAACAAACAAACAAACATTGAAAAATGACACATACTTGTTTGTAATCCAATTTACTGTACCGCAAACGTGTAATAGATGCTAATTTATGCTAATACTGCGAGTCCAATTTTTGATGTTGTTGACTGTTTGATGTGGATTAACATAAAAGGACGTATAGGATTATTAGCTTCCCTGCTGTTTGTACAGTAGGATTTACATTTATCTGACATCTGTAGACAAACGACAAGACCGCGTCAGACTGAACTAGCATTAAAAAGTAATATCAAGGGGAAACAAATACATTTAGTACTAGGCATCTGCGTAATGTTTATATAAAACTGTCAGTCAGTGTCGGGCAAGAAATTAATTTTTTGTAGTCTTAAAAAAACGTGGTACAACATAGTACTGACTAATACTGACACGTGAAAAGTCGTTCACAGTGAAATCGTGGCACATGAAGGACACTTCATAATGTTACCGTTGTTTTTACAATAATATCTCAGGACTGTGTTTGTTTTGGTTTGGGAAACTGAGGCTTTTAAATCTCCTGCACCAAAGTCCATTGAGAAAAATGACATTTTTAAACACTGTCAGAGCAAAATTCAAGCTTTAACTACTTCCTTGAATGTGCAATATTCCACAGCACCAGAAACTGTTGTAGAGCAGCTGCTTTTTTTTTCATTGAATTATTGATTTAACCTTTCCAAAAAAAATAGACCTGTTTGTCTTCTTCTTCTGCCTGTTTGGCCTTAAATGACTTTCACAGCGTAATCTGCCGTTTGGCCCTGACACTGATACAGATGCGGCCCACAGATGACCCGCACCATCGTACCTGATATAGTGGTCCAATAAAAATGTCTCTGGATGATAATGTGACTTCTGAAGGAACTGCTGTTGCTCATACTAACATGGTGGAATCTAGATTCTCACTGGGATACAAAGAAATACCAGAGGAATATTTACTTTTTTTACTGCAGAATTTTATTACAGATACATGCAGTTCTGCTTCAAATATATGTTTCCTAGAAACTGGTGACGTTTGGACCTTTATTTTTGTCTGTCTTCAGTTTTTTTCCGTGATAATATTTTGACTCAGTCTTTTCAAACCTCCTCACGCAATATTTACTGTCAGCTTTGAATCTTTTGTTTTGTTTGAATCGGCTGCTTTTCCCAAAAACTTCTTACAAATTTAACATAATCTAATGCTAATATCAGACTGAATATATCAGACGACCGATGTTGACACAGGGAACTGTTTTTATGCAATTGTATCACTGAAGTACTCTCATCTGCAGTATTTTAGTGAGTAAAGAAAAGAAAAGAAAATGACAAACCTTTTACTCCATGAACTGCTTTGACTCCTGATTTAAATTGCACAAACTTTGCTGTTTAAAAACACAATTAACTTCAGTCCTCCTCTCAGTCGCTGAGCGGACGTTCAGTTTTTGAATTACAAAAACACCAAAGTTGCGTTCGACTGCGTTATGATACTTATCTTCAGGGCTTGGAAAAGTTTCTCTATTAGTTCTGCAGCTCTGTGCTTTGCAGAACAAGAAGAAATCAATTACTTTTGGTCTGGCCTGCAGAGGAGACGACAGCTCAAACTGACAGTTCTTCCCTTTTTAGAGTCCAAACATCTGTCACCTGTCAGAGCAGAAACATCCCAGAGAGTCTAATCTGACAGCGAGTGAGGAAAAGTCAGAGGGAAACGGGCAGAGATCAGTGACTGTTGAACCGGCAGAGGAATAACCTCGACGAATTTGATCACATTTTCTAACTTAAAAAAAACCCCAACCTTTTGTATCGGATCACTTTTAAGCACATGAACTTTGAGTACAGAGTTTACTTTGTTGTCTTTGAACAATTTCACGTCATTTCTGGATTCTTTTTTTTCTACGTTTTTGACATTTTTTTAAAGATACTTTTGCAATATATTTGGCAAAACTTCGCCAAAGGTTAACGAGTTTATAATAAAACTTGTAAAAATTTCTTGTGTTAACAGTAGATCTGCTGCAACACACTGCCCCCGGTGGTGCCAAATATGTGGTTCCCAGGACTACCTGATCTCTGCTTCAGAAGCAGGCGTGCTGACCACTTCCCCCCGGTGGTGCCAAATATGTGGTTCCTAGTTCCTGATCTCTGCTTCAGAAGCAGGTGTGCTGACCACTTTGCTATGGAGCCATATTTGTTTTTTTACTTAAGTGCCTTCGCTATATTTCTGGGTGAACAAGATCATAGCTAATAGTGGTTTTTTTTTTTGGTTTTTTTTTTGTTTTAGAATTTTTTTTTTTCCAGCAGTGTCATTAAATTACAGCATTTGTATTAGGGCAACGATAGATAGAACTATTTCATTCTTATAATTACACTCAATAAATGAACATGGAAAAAACACAAACACACACGTACATATATATTATATATATTATCAGCCAACTCATATTATCATGTTATATGTAGTATATACTATATATACGTTATGTACCATATACATTATATGTCATGTATATGTCTATATATCATATATATATGTGTCATATTTATGTCACTTCATGTTGATGAAACACAGTTGACCTACTGTGTGTGAAGGTTTTTTTTCCTCTTCTCTCCATCAATGTGAGTCTTTTACCTCAGTCAGATGCCTTTCTTTTTGTCCTCCCCCCCTCACACCCTCCGTCCCTCCCTCCCCCCTGATACTGTAGGCAGTAAAGTAGCTCTGACAACCCGGGACCTTCACGTCAGCCGCGCTTTGTCTCCGCTCGGGACGAGTCGATTGATTAACGACCTGCGGGTTCCCGTTGTTCTCTCAACCCCCGCTCTCTGTCCTGCCGCACCAACTGCCCAGAAAAACGAGAATAAATAGTTTCACAGTCCTGAGTCATTTCTTCATCGTCCGCTCTCGTTTCTCTCCTCCTCCATCTGCACCGCGGCTGCGTGCAAAGTCGGCTTAGAGTCTGGATCAATCCTCCACCGCCGTGTCCCAACAGTGTGTGTGTGTGTCTGTGTGTCTGTGTGTGTGGTTTCTCTGGGGAAAATCAGGGAAGGAATAAAAGAAGACAAAAGACCAAAAAGACAAAAGAGTGAGTGGGAGCTGAGAGAGGAGAGAAAAATAAAAGAGAGCTATAAATATCCGCCATCATCTTTTAACAGTAGCAGCTGTGTACAGTGAGGTTCCACCCAGGTTTTAAAAGGGCCGCCACTTGAATTTTGCTTATGAAAAAAAAAACAAAAAACTAATAACCAAATTATGATGTCATTAATTTTCACCATTTTTGCACTGAGATCCTGACGCATCTTTGATTTTGCTCCATGCTTCCGTCGTCGAACCCCAGGGTGGTTTTCTGTAGTTTTAGTATTCTTTTACAGCCAAGTCATTGTTGAAGAGTTGAATTAACAACAATTTAATCTTGAATTTGCTCCTTCTGGTATTTTCAAGAGTTGGATGTAATACTCGGTAAAAAAAACTAAAAGAAAAACAATCGGAATCTTCCACATATTTAATGTAATCATCGGCGTATGAAAGTATAACGTATAAAATTCACAAACGATGACAAGCAGTTAGTCAACGACTGTCATTCAGGTTGTTGTTCCTGTGCTGTTGTTTAGTAAAGTGTTTGTGTTGGGTTTTGTCGTTTAACTAGCAGAAATCGTACTCCAATGGCAGCGAAAGGCTAACTTTCCTCATCCTTTTTTTTTTAAGAAAGATCGATTTATGTGAAACTTCTTTTTGTTAGTAATTTAAAAGAACACTGGACAAAACTGTTTTTTGTTCTTGCCCTCAGATCCAAACTGTGTTTGACACAACGTTAAACTAAATGAATGTGAAATGACATAATTCTGTTTTAATTGAGCACAAAGTCAATAATCTTCGCAACCTCCGTTCACTCCTGCTGCTAAATCTGACAGCTGTAATTCCTCACGCTCTTTCATAATTGACCGGAACACTTATTCCCTAAGTCCATCAAAAATGACCAGCGGGCTTATTATCTCCAACAGTCGCCATGGTTACAGACTGTGTGTGTGTGTGTGTGTGTGTGTGTGTGTTTAGGGGAGGTAGTTCCTAATTGACTGGCTGCTTAAGCTTTTAATGAAGAGTGTGCAGCCAACTCTCCAATTAGCTGTGAGGGGCCCATCAGGGGATGAAAATGAGGGAGGTAGAAACTCTGGAGAAAGTGTTTGGTGTGAGGGGGGAGGACGGAGGAGGGAGGAGGGAGGAGGGAGGGATGCTCAAGGGGAGAGGAGGAGTAACGGGGAAGAGAGATTCCATTAAAGTCTGGAAGGTAATGAGAGGGGGGGAAATACTCGTTGTTTTTCCTTCTTCGTTTCAGTTTCTTATTCAATCTCGTGTCCAACCCACTCTGTGGTACACAGCCTGTCTGGGCTGGGCCACATCCATAAAGTTAAATTGTTACATAAACTTTTAATTAATTATCCCTGGGCTGTCCGAGCTGCTCATTGTTTTAGACTAACAACTCAATTCTTTCCTCGCGACAACCAAACCAATCAGAATCAGTTCGTACAACACCTTGTCCGTCCTTTCACCGCTAACCTTTGCGACCCAGAGTTAGTACCGTAGACTCAGATTTGGTCTCTGTAGTCCAGACCGTTAAGGTTTCTGCTTTGGTTCGTCCCTCCACTCCTCACTCCGTAGGACTCCCCCCTTTATGGGTTGCACCACCGCAGCAGCAACACACCCTAAATAGAACACATCGTTCTATTTAGGACAGTCCCAGCTCCCCACCAAGCGTCCTATAACAGCCGCCCATAACACTGAAAATTGTTCCCCATGATTCAAAGCAGCAGCGCCCCACTTTGGATTTATTGTAATTTGCTCGTCCTGCGTCCGAGCTCAGCCAACCTGCAGACACAACTCCAGTTTTTTTGGCTCCTTGTTTTTTGTGATCTCATTCCTTTTGGTCATAAACCACGGTTAATGACCACGGCCAGGATTTAGATGAACTCGTAAAGTCACCCCCGCAACCCCCCACCTCGGGGCTCGACTCTCTTCACGGCCGGCGAATGGGGCGGCAGCTGCATCGGAGCAGATGCTGCTCTAATCTATTCTCCCAGCTCCTAATTTCCTCAGCCTGTGACACGGTCTCCAGATACCACTTCCATATCGGAGGATGGAGCTGCTGAGGCTTCCGCCTCCGACTGTTGGCCAACTCACTCCGTACCAGAGCCTCCTATTACCATGTGTCGTGGAGATTTCTCTGTGGAGCAGACCCAGGTTCTCGTCATCAGTTTTTTAATGCAGTGGTGCAACTTTTTGCGCAGGAAGTTTTGACATTTGCCCATCCCACCCACTCTGGCACGTTGACAGCTGTGCAAATATTGATCCCTGGAAACATAAGAGTTCACGTAAGAGATCAGTACTGTTCTCGATTATTTTATTTATTTATTTGGTTTTTTTTTTCCCCCACTCGTTTACTTTTCTGCTCCGGTTCATGTGAGAGCTGCAGTAGTCTCAGCTCTAATTCGATGACGCTAGTCCAAAGATAGTACTGATCAACTGTCCCTTCTGTGACAATGGTCAATGTTTGTCTGTGTGTTCTTAGCCAATGAGTGTGGACTTCATCTCCAAACTTACTACATTTGGTTATAGCAGATAATAAATAGCTGAAGATACCAGTACATGAAAGTACTTTCATGGACTCTCTCATTACTGGGAAACTTTTTTTCCCCAATAAACAAGTTCCTCACTTCACACTCCACGAATCACCGCTAACCCACTGCGTTCGTCTTTGTCGTCCACAATTCTCTTATTTCTCACATCTGTGTTTTTCCTTCTGTCCTGAGGTCAGTGACACTAATTATCACGGTTCAACCGTCGGACTTGTGTTAAAATCATTTATAACAAGTTTCTTTTGTGCATTCGTCGGTTCACAACGACCTACTGGATTATCGGTTGGTCAGTTAAGGAAACGCAGCAGACTAACATCCAAATTATTGGATGTTCGTCTCCTGAACGTCTTTGAACAGTTGAGTTTCTGCCCATAAACAAAAATAATTGCCTATTTTTCCACACACTTCACATCAAAAATTCATGATGAGACGATTAAAATGAGAGTGAAACGGGTGGGAAACATTTTCACGGACCCTTTTCAACCTGCTCGGTAATTAGTCTTCAGTGTTGATCGTATTTACAAAACTGTTAGCTACTCGTTATAACCCCCCCCTCCCCCATCCCTCTCCGTTTCTCACATACACACACACTCAGAGTTTTACCAAACACAACCATTTACTCACTCTCTTTTTTTTACCATATTTTTTATATACAACTGTTTGGATTATACTTTTATGGTTGAATATTTAAACTCTGCTGGTACGGAGGTGGGAACAACATCTGGTTCACTGTCTCATCAAAGGACACGTCAGTATATGCAGTAACTGTATGTGTTATGTATGGGCTAAATAAAAAACAATAGACTCAACATATTTTACTGTTTTTACAAAATATCTAAGTAGTTTCAAATGTAAACAAATAGTTTCCCAAAAGATTGAAGTCTGTTTTTTACGCTGCGTACCGCCTGGAAAGATTTGTCTTTCTGAGTACCACCAGTACGACAAAATACAGCAGTCACTACAGTTGGTACTTTTTGGAGTTCCAGTTTGGAAGTACTGGTGGTACCTCAAGTACCACCGATGGTACACTTACCATAATTTGAGAACCACTAATTAACAAGCAGTACATGTTTTTCTTGGCAGGTGAATTTTCTCATTTTTGATCATGAAACTACAGTTCAAGTCCCAGAATCACAGCCGGCCTCAGTCACCGTGTCCAAACAGTGCGTTTACTGTGTGTTTACTGTGTGTGTGTGTGTTGTTTGCAGGGGCAGTGGAGGTGAGGAAAGAAGGTCTGGAGGCTCAGATCAACCGCCTGGCTGAACTCATCGCTCGACTGGAGAATAAGGTACAGGAAAACACACAAACACACACACGAGCTTGTTTGTTTCACCACAGGAAGACACCGCGTGGTGTTCATGGACTAAAGTTTTCAGTACATTTTTTTTCTTCTTTTTTTTAAATGGACCTTTTCTTCCATTTCCATCAGTTTAGTTGTTGATTCTCCATCCACTCAAAATGACCCCCCCCCTCTTTCTTTTCCTGCAAATAAGTACAGGTATATAAGGAAAATATTCATATTAAATGAAATATAATTTGTTTGTGCAATTGTTTTTACTTCAAGCGGCCCGGTTTGAACCCCTAAGTGGGCCTGTTCTGGCCCGTGGGCTGTATGTTTGACACCCTGTGCTTTAAATGCTTGGAAAGAAAAAGGTCTGTAAAAGTTTCCACTGGTCTGGAACTATTGTACACGACAGTATGTCAATCAAATATTGGATAGTTGTTGTGCTGCTTATATCACTAAAAACAGGTTTGTATTTTCCAGTGGTACCAAAGGTGGGGGGCGCCCCCATTGAGGGACAGATAGTTGTTGGCGGGGGCGGGGAATTTTAACTATAGTTCAGTGGAGTTTTGAAACAGTATTCACAGTAGCTGTGAATATGCTAACATGGGGGAGGAGGGGTGAGAGGAGGGAAGAACTGTAGTCCCACTATTGGCCAGATTTCCTTTTCTTCTTTTTCTACAGACAACACTGTGATTTAACTTTAAATTTTTCAGTGCATTCATCAAACAGTCAAGTAGCTCTGATTCCCCCAAAAGTACAAATCCTATTATCCATCCCATAATTCCACTCTGTCCAATTGGTGTCAGAATCATTTTCTGGAAGGTAAAATGAACTCCCTGAGAAACTGCCGCTCGGAAACCAAACGTCTCAGATAATGTTTGCGCCCCCAGACTGGGTCCTCGGAGGAGCTCTGATCTAGATTTATTTCCTGTTATTTATCAGTCCGACTGCAGCTGAATCGATCCTGACTGTGAGCTGAAACCTCCTCAGTGCCGCGCAGCCACCGTTTTGTCCAGAGCCCTTTAGAAACGCATCAGTCGAAGGCTCCGCTCCGCGGGGCGAACGCTTTTGACACCGTGGTGAATTAAATGGAAATTAATCTGGACAGGAAGTCTCTTCAGACATGTTTCCACCGGAGCGGACGGTGAAGTCACAGCACAACAAACAAACACACTGTGTGTTTATGTTTGTTTGTGGAGTAGATGGGAAATGAGTTAGTAAAATAAACCAAGGTTTTACTTTGGATTATGGAATATTTATATATTTAATATCAGTGTAATTAGAACAAATACAGATTCATTAATGTGGAAGTTTTGGGGTTTTTTATTCTCTAATAATTTCGCGATCTACTCACTCACCAGTGATAGTAGTAGGGATGTCTGATAATAACTTATTACCCATATTGTCCAAACACTTAATTTCTGATTCCGATATCAACCGATACCAATATATGCAGCCGTTTGACCCCAAAAACTGAGGTTAGCATCTCAGGATTCCAGCATATTTGGCGAAACCCAGACGTTGCGTTATCACATTTTTAGATCTTTGAACAGGTCGATTTTATACAAATTCAAATCTGTTTCACCACCGTTAGCTGTTAACATCGTCGATCCACCTTAAAATATCATGGAATGATCAATAGAGTTCCTTAAATCAAAAATATTGCAGTTCAAATTTTAGTCGCGATAATTGAAGGGCATTTTTAAATCTGACGGCTGGACTGGCTGACCTCGGGCACCTCCTTCGTCCGGGCATGTGACGATGAGATGTGCTGAAGAAACGGGGGTTAATGAGGAGGCCTGTGATATGAGGAGGAGGAGGAGGAGGAGTGCATGTGAAGACAGAGGAGGCAATTAGAAGAGACTCTGTGTCCAAAGTGTTGAAGGTGTATTTTTACCCACTGATTTGTCTTTTCAGGCACTCTCTGCTCCCTCACGTCTCCCTGCTCCACCTTAACATCTTTCATCTTTCCCCTTCTCTCCTCCTTCTTAATCTTATCCCCTTTGCCCCTTCCCCCTCCCCCCGGCATGGCCTACATCACAGCATAACATAACATGACATAACATGTGGACCAGTGATGTCTAAAATCTGCCCCTAGTGGTACAAGACGTTTTTTAGATGTTAGATACAACAAACGTTTTTTTTAATACAGGTTTTTGTTCGATACCAGATTGGTTTAGAAGGTTAACACCAATTGACCTTTGAACCCTGTTGTTAATCTAATGACACTCAGCTCTGAGTCAAAGCCCTCGTTTCGCTTCACTGACCCTGGGTTTAGACCCCGGTGACTGGAGCTGCCTTTAACTGAACCGTTGTTGGATAATGGGCAGTGACCCAGAAGGTCCTTCAGAGAAGTGGCTCCAGAAGACCAGGTCACAGCTGGTTAATCACCAGCGCCTCCTATGGCTGGACTGGAGTCAGAGCTGCTCAGGTCTGATGTGTTCCTTCATTACCAGCAGGTGATGACCAACAGGCAGTGAAGGGGGCGGGGCAATTACAACTGTTAAATAATTCAAACTGACGTTTTGGGACAGTTTTATCAAATGTTTTCAAACATATTTTGGCCTCTCTTGTTTGTCTTTTGAGGCTAAGATGACAAGTAGCTATTTTTAGCTAACACTCCTAATCCTTTCTGTTTTTTAGCCAGACCTGCTAAACCTATTAATTAGCCAGATTTGCTAACCAATAGCATCTAACTTGACCTCTGTTAGCCGTCCCTGCTGAATATTTCTGCGGCTAATTTTAATTTATTTTATGGCTAAATTTGCTTCATTTTCACCATGTTTTGGTCCCTGGCTAATTGGTTAGCCTTCCAGCCTGCTTCAAATGATTGAATTATTTATTCCATGTTCCCCCTCACCCCCCCACCCACTTTGATTCACCCTCCGTCCTTCCCTCACGCCCCTCGGGGAGTGTGTTTGTTCTCATGAATTTGTATCGACTCGTTTCTGTACTCGATTCACTCGCTGCAGGCAAAAAAATAAATAAATAAATAACTGAGCTTCTCAGCTGGAAAAGTCTGAGTCAGGACGCCGGGCCCTGATTAATAACCTCACACGTGGAGACGTTGATACGGAGGCTGAATACTGACAGGTCAAAATGATGCAGCTCTTTACTTTATTTTCAGTTAGACGGTGCAGTTTACTTCCCTTTGATGACTTCAACGTCGCCGCCCCGTGGGGGCAGAGGAGAAAGGCATTTATATCATAGAAAACGTGAAAAAAATTTAAAAGTGGAGATTTAATGGAAAGGCAAAACTATTAGAAAGTCATTCAATTAAAAAAAAAAAAGAGGCAATTTTCTTTTTGCCTCCATTACTTTATGGAAATACAATGATACTATAAAACCACCATGAATTAAAGCAGCTGTAGGCGGACAGGCTTATTCAACGATCGGTCGATTGTTGAGCGAATATGTAGAAGGTAAAATATCGTCTTCAGTCAGCGTTGCTGTCAATCCTGCCGAAAGCTTGTAGTCGTCCATTAATTAAACACTGACATCTATACAAAGGACTAGAACATACAACTTACTTATAATTAACAGATACAGGAAGAAAAAAAAAACTCTGTTTAACGCAGTGGAGATGAAATGCGATCGTTATTAGTGTAGCGGTTAGCACGTCTGCCTCGGGAGCCAACCTGGGGTCTGGCGGCCAGTTGGTATCGAACCCAGAACCTTCTGGACTCTATTCTTTTTGCTACATTGTGTTTCGTTTTTAAAGGACGTCACTTCAGTGGATGAATCTAAGTTTCTGAGATGATCCAAGTTTACCACCTCTAATTTTGTTCCAAATGGTAGCGGTTAGCACATCTGCCTCGCAAGCAGATAGTCCTGGGTTTGATTCCCAGAAGAACTACATACTTGGCGCCTTGGCGATCAATAAAGTTCTTAATTATTAAAATTAATAGTCCTGGGTTTGATTCCCAGAAGAACTACATACTTGGCGCCTTGGCGATCAATAAAGTTCTTAATTATTAAAATTAAAAAAATTAAAATTATTGTTATTATGTGTATATGTATGTACAAATATATAAGACATATATACATATATATACAAATATACACATCGATATTATCAGCCTAATATTAGCATAAAAATGTAATATCTGTAAGAATTGTCATCATATCTATTTATATATATATATATGACCTAAATATATATATATGTGGTCTCTGCAGAGCAGAGAGATGAATGAATCCGTCTGTACAGTTGAGACGTGCGGCGAGTGTGTGAAGGTGAGCAGAGATATTGATTTCTTGTTTTCTCCTCGGCTCTCGTTGCCTGTGAGTCTGACTTATATAAACCCTTGGTGATGAATCACAGTGAGGGAGACCAGGACACTGTCACTGCACAGACTGATGAGCAGCTGTGTCTGAAATGTAGCACAAGGTAACGCAGACTGTGAGCGCGGGCAGCGAAAGAAAGTCGAGGAAAACTGCAAACAAACACACAGTAACACACACAGTAACACACACACACACTCTCTCTCTCTGTAGAAGGCTTCAGGGTGAACGATTTAATCGCGTTATGAAACGCGGCGGCCTCACAGCTGAGCAGAAATGAAAGGCGATGTGTGTTGACGGTTGTACTACATGCTGTTTTCACAACTTGGAAAAAAAACCCCAAACTGTAGGAAACAGGAAACTCTGAGTGTGAAACTCTGCTTCAGTAGGTGTTCTGGTCTTAACCCAAGGATTGTCCGGATATTTTCATTTGATTACTTGTAAGTAGTGTATTTGATATTGCTCTAGGTGCAGCTCTATGGGTAGTAGGATGTGTTTGGTTGGACTTCCACCAGGAATTATACTGACAGCCAGTTTCATTTTCTTCTCGTTAACAGACGACGGTTTCAAGCCAAAAGAAAAAAAATCTGTAATAAAGTCTTCAAATGGACAATATCTAAAAAAGGAAGTCTTCAAATGGACAATATCTAAAAAAAAGGATTAAAAAAAATATAAAATCAAACTTTCTGCATAGTGGAACAGAAAGTGAGCAGAGCTTTTACACCCATCACCACCAGCAGTACGAAAACATGGGTCGAAGAACTGTCCCGGGTGTTAGTCCCGCCCTCACCCAATGACTGATGAGCTTGTCTGCATCTTCGCTGCCCCTACAGGTAGAAGGTGAATGACAGGAAGAAGAATATAAATATTTAGTTTTTACGTCCAAATCCCTTCCTGAAAGAACTAAACCTGGGATCTGGAGTCCAGGTGGGATCAAACCCAGAACCTTCTGATTTCTTTTGTTACGTTGTGCCTTGTTTTTGGACCTCGTCACTTCACTGGGTGATTCCAGGCGGTCTGAGTTTATGAAATGATCCCGTTAGCCCGCCTGCCTCTCTGAGTCTTTTTTTTCTTTAAATCTAAACCTACACATCGGACTTTCAAGTTTCCCGTGTCCTCCTTCCATCTCTCTATTTTCATGCTGCTGTAAAACATTCTCTTTTACCCCTCCTGCACTCCCCCTATCCACCTACCCCGCGTCCCCCTCCCTCCTGATGAAAGTTAAATCGACAAACATCATCTCCTGCTCTCAGGCCGGGGTCGACTCTCACTGGGTCCATTATCAGGGTCTCACAGTGAGCCACTAATGTCTGCCTCAAGCTGTTGGAGATGCTGTGTTTGTGCCTGTTGTTGTTGTTGTTGTTGTCGTTGTTCTCCTCTTTGATTGACACGCTGCTGCTGCTCTTCTTGTTGTGCTTCTCCTTGCAGACGGTCTCGTTTGATCTGCACCAGAGGCTAACTGACACAGATGGCACCACCAGTGCAGTAAGTACTCTGACACTAACCGGAAAAAAAGAAACTGTTGGACGCTGCACTGCAACATTGAACCCCCAGGTGTAGAAACGCTCACCGCAGCCACTGCACTCCAGTCTTTTCATTTTCCTATTCCGTCCGTCCAGTCCTCGCACCAGTCATTTTCCTCTGTGCGCTGAGAGTTTTTTTTTTTTTTTTTTTCCTGGTTGTTGCTTTAACTGTAGCCCCTAGCTGTTCAGGTAGATGATAATGAGCGAGTTAACCTGCAGTCGTACATTTACATTTACAGTCGTGCATTTTGCAAACGCGTTTATTCAAAGCCACTTACAAAAGCAGACCGTTCGTTAGGACAGCGGGGCTTCCTGACTAGGGTGAGAGGAAGTGGAGACAAGTGCAGGAGGAGAAAGGAAGTACAGGAAAAGTACTGGAACAGAAAGTACCGTACAGCAGCGCTCACCAACATTTTCTGTACCAAGAACTGGTCGGCCGTTATTAGCCGTTACTGCGGACCGGTAATACCGCGCCGTCATTGAAGAAACATTACGTTTATACCGCGCCGTCATTGAAGAAACATTAAGTTTTCAAACATCTTTCAGAGTTTCTTCTGTTTGTATCAAAGTCTGAATGACCTTTGACTTGTTGTTTTGAAACATTGACAGATTATCTTTGAATGAAAAAACTAAAGGGATATGACTGGATTCTTTTAGAATGAAGTAACACCTGGTCCCCGGACCAGATGTTGGGGAAAGGTACACCATTCACAAGAAAAACCCGGACCAGATGTTGGGGAAAGGTACACAAAAAAAAACAACCAGTTAGCATTTTACAGAATCTGACTTTTTGATAAAAAAAAAACCTTCTGGTTTCTCTGAAACACCTTGAATTGACTGAGTCCGTTTATTGAACAGCGATGCACCAAGGTGTTTTTCTCTGGTGACCCGGGTCTAAAGGCCGCGGCGTTCTGAAAGCTGAAATCTTTAGAAAAACATGAGTAGCTTTTTGTCAGTCGATGGTCATCACACACCGTCTTTGTCGAATCTTCTCACATTCAGAGGAATCAAAGATTTGTCTTCATGTCGGATCAGATTTTTTTTTTTTAGCTGCTGAGTGGAGTTTTCTGCTGGAGTTCAGTTCCATCGATTGTTGCCTTTGAACCAGAGTGAGAGAAGTTCCTGGCACCAGTGTAAAGTTACAGTCAATTTGAGCACAGAAGGCGTGACAGTTGGATCCTGGAAAAATCCACTCCGTGTGGTTCCTCACGGAGGATTCACGTTACAGACGTTAAATACAGAAATAATGAATAGATGATTCGTTAAGAACCTTATTAGTGTCAGAAAATTACTGGAAGGTTCTGAGTTCTATACAGTTACCAGTATTATAACCCATCTCTGACTGGAAGGTTCTGAGTTCTATACAGTTTTATAACCCATCTCTATAGTCCATATAGTCCATAGGCCATAGTTTGTCCACGCCAGGCCGCTACCTATCGTGCACACAGTACTTTTGTATCTGCCCTTCAATCCAACAAACCTTTACCTTTCACTTACCCATTTTCTTCCAACCTACTGTACCTCGTCGTCTTTCCTTCCTTATCTACCTCCTAATATCCTTCCTAGTTCTTCACCTACTTTTCCTTCCAGGATCCCACCTACGTACAGTACCTTCCTACTTGTCTTCCCATCCCCCTGCCTTTGTTAACATACTACTTCACTTACCCACAGTATAATGCCGACTCACCTTCCCACCTTTTCGATTTACTTTCTAAACGATTCCACCTTCAACTTCTTTTCCTTTGACACCCAACCTCCGATCTTTGAAGTTAACTACCCTCACCACCGTCTTGTGTAAAAAGACTCTGCCAACTCGTGTACCTCTCATACCTAGTCACAAGTAACAATGGGTCTATAAATGGAAAGGTCTTTGAAAAGTCTAATATATTTGACTTGAAGGTGAACGTACGTTCTCCTGTAGGTTCCTGCTCTGCGGCAGCGGGACATTAGGGTCCGGTCTTTTTCTGTCTGCAGGAGATCAGTTTAACAACCACCCCTGGCTCTGATGCCCTCAGCAGCACAGACACTTATGACTTTCACAGCAGCCGCCTGTAACCAGTCAGGAGCAGCGACTAAACTGTGCAGTTGTCATGGACACGGGTTCAGGTCAACACTAAAAATAAAGCGAAGATATAATGACTGCAGAGATGAAAGTTTAACTTTAAGACAGTTACTGTGAAAATGCAACCGTAAGTTCTTTGATGCATCAAGGGGAAGGAGGGCGACGGGGGAGGGGGGGTTATTTAGTCACTTCAGAAGTCACTTCAGTTCCCATGGTGATGAAACACGAGCGTCGTCTCTTTCTTCTTTACACACACATATATATACATATATGCAGATATACATATATATGTATATATCTAACACATACATATTAACTCTATTTGACCTGCAAATATTTTTAAAATATCGTAAAATAAAACGTCAAGGTAACACGTAACATTGGATGTTGTGCACATTCCTAAAAATACTCCCTCTTGTACTCGTTGTTAACTCGGATTACTGTTCAACTCCAGTCACTAAAAGTCAATTTTCTTCTATTAATTTGTATAACTGTTCCATCATCCTCTAATTTCCCCCTGGAGAATAAAAACATTTTTTGTTTTTTAATTAAAATTTAATTCAGTGTCAGTTCAGATAAATGGTTAGTTGGTTAGTTCACTTGCCTTACAACAACAAGATCATTAAAAGTTAATCTTTGGTCGCTCAAAAAACATATCACCCCGCCCACCCTCAATTCCTGCTCTGATTGGCTCCCATTCCAGTGCCACCGTAGGAAGGATTCAGCTATAAAAATAAAAAAAAATTAAAAAAAAACATTGAATAGATAAATAAACCAGAGCTGTTATGTGAAAACACTTCACATACACCAACACACATATTTGGTGCAGAAAGAAAAATTAGAGGAGAGACTCAAAGGTCAGTTTGTAGACGTGACGAGAGAAAAACACGGTGAGAGAGAAATCTCGTGAATGTTCGATACTGATACAATTTCACCGACGTAATAGGAATAGATTGTTACAGTAATAGCAGCCAGCATGAGATAATGGTCTTAGTGCAGTCGAGTCTCTGTGGTGCATTAGCGGCTCAGTCAGTGTCGGGCTCAGGTCGAAAGATCGCAGACGTACAACTTGACTTTCCCTCGTAGAAATACTCCGACCTTTTTAACCGTGTAACTTCACTTGTTCTTCTGTGTTTTTGTACCTTGTCGCTGATCTCCATGATTGTTGGAATTTTTACATTTATAACTTTATTTTTAGTACCACTTTCAGAAACTGGAGCAGTGATAGTAGCAAATGGTGGCCCGCGGTCTGTAACCATGGCTGTTGAGGAGCATATTTGTGGACCGCAAGATGAACACATGAAAGGAGAAGATTCTTCGTTCTTTTACTGTGTGAACTTTGGTTTGGTCAGCATCTACAGGTCTAACGATTTTAGTTGGTGAAACCTGGGCCTGTTTAGTTGAACAAGCACTGATATACTCACAGGAATTGAAGAAAGAAACACACAGAGATCTTCAGCAACTCCTGGTAGTTCTCTTTATTTTTTTGTTTCGATAGCCTTCAGCAACTCCTGGTAGTTCTCTTTATGTTTTTGTTTCGATATCTGTTGATGTGCTGCAACCTGCTGGAAGAGTATCTCATTGTTCTGCTCGTCACAGTCACATAGATCAATGAAGACAGATTATTTGTAGTCATCTTTAGACCATAATTTCCCATGGTACACACAGAGAGCGGCCCAGAAGTGATCCAGACTAGTTCACACCTTCCTTATCTTCTTCTCACTAATCAAAAGATCGACTGCTCTGGTCTTTGACTCTTGCCTGATGTACTGTATATAAGACGTGTATCTAAGATCGACTACTCAATTCTCTAATTTACATTTAATTTCCCACATTTTCTTACTGGTTCCCAGTCCTGAACATATTACTAACGCCCTCTGACCCTCTTGCTCTCGAGAACCCCCTCCTCAAGAATACCCAGGTATCTCCTCAGAAGGTCACGATCCTCTTCATTTTTGCATAACTCTATGCACCCTCCTGCAGCCTTCATCACTCCCCCAATCCCCCACGCCCACTCCCCGACCTTGTCT